AGAACTAAGAACAGGTGAGGAACTAATGAGTAACTATGGAAACTAATAATGACCAGAAACACAGGCAAAATGGTAACAGCGAAAACAAAAATAAAACACAATGAATCTAAACAGAACGTCTCAGGTTATGTATGTAACCCTGGTTCCCTGAAGAGGGAATGAGACGCTGCGTTGAGACACTGTGGGAATGCCCCTGCATTATTGTGTCTAGCGCTAGCTTCTGATAGGCTGAAGCAAGTCGATCACAGGCATGCATGGAGTATGGCAGGGCGACGCAGTGTCTCGTTCCCTCTTCAGGGAACCAGGGTTACATAGGTAACCCGAGACATTCCCTTTCAAGGGAACTCGAGCTGCATCGAGACAGTGTGGGAACACTATACCCACGACGCCATAATAGCAAATTCCTGTTCTGTGTGAAGTCCCGTTCTTAGAAGCAAGCACCCTAGACACCGGAGTGAAGCCTAGATCCAAGTCAAAAAATCTAACAAATGTATGTGGTGAGGACCAGCCTGCCGCATCACAGATGTCATGAAGGGAAACCCCCGATATTAAAGCCTATGAGGCAGCCATACTCCTGGTAGAATGGGCCCGGACAGCCAAAGGTGAAGGCTGACCAGCCGCTTCATAAGCAAGTGAGATAGCCTTGACTACCCACTTGCTCATCCTCTGCTTGGATGCAGGGTAACCTTTTCTGGGTGACCCGAAACAGATGAATAGTTGATCTGATTTACGCCACAGGGCAGCTCTGTGTGTGTACACATCCAAAGCCCGCACAGGGCACAGCAGATTAAGTTTTTTCCTGATCTGGTGTATTAAAAGGTGGAGGACAGAAGGCCTGCAGCACAATTGGGCCCTCATCATTAGTAGGGACCTTAGGAATGTAGCCCGGCCTAGGGTGAAGAAAGGCTTTCACCATACCAGGTGCAAATTCTAGACACGAAGGTCAACCGACAAGGCTTGCAAATCTCAAATTCTCTTGATAGAAGAAATGGCAATGAGAAATAAAGTTTTTAGTGTAAGGAACTTTTATGAAACTTCTTCAATGGGCTCGAAGGGAGCCAACGCCAGGCCTCCCGGTACAACGGCCAAATCACAAGCCGGTGCTCTAGTGCGCAGTGCAGGCCACAGCCTCGAAAACGAGTAAGGAGAGGATCTCTCCCCAATGATGCACCACCCAGAGGAGGGTGGTAAGCAGATATAGCCGCCACATACACCTTCAAGGTGGAAGAAGATAAGATAACCCCGCAGAGAAACGTTCTTGCAGATAATCAAGTACTTTACCAACAGGGCAGAAACAGGATTCAGTTGGCGTTCTCCGCACCAAGCAGAGAACAGTTTCCATTTCAGTGCATACAGTCTAGATTGGAGTATGGTCTCCACGACCGGTGTCGAGACACCTGATTCTATGAGCTGGGCCCTCTCAGGGGCCAAGCCCACAGTTTCCACTACTCCGGGCGAGGGTGATACATCGTGCCCCCTGCTTGGGACAGTAGGTCCCTCCTGATTGGAATCTCCATCGGAGAGCCATCTAGAAGGGACACCAGGTCCGAGAACCAAACTCGGGCGGCCAGTTCTGGGCTACTAATAACAGACGGGCCCCTTCCCGGCGAACCCTCTCCAGAACTCCCGGAAGCATGGATATCAGAGGAAAAGCTTACAGCTGTCCTCACGGACAGCTTTTCGCAATACTCACAGTCAGCCCCCTCGAGAACTGAGTGGGCATGCTCCACTCCCAAACAAGCAACACAAAGCTGGTGTGTGTCCCCACCCGTGATGAAACAAGGGCAGGGAACAACACACCGCTTAAAATCTTGCTTGCTCGCCATTTTTATATATATATATTAGTGCTGGGCAACGATTAAAAAATTTAATCGCGATTAATCACATGATTTTCGTGCGATTAATCGCATTGTTACGCGCAAAATTGAATAATGAATTCTAAAGTGTATTGCGCACTTTTGATTTAAATGTACTGCTACAAAAGTGCAATAACATGTGGTTTCCAAAAACTTTAAACAAATAAGGTGCTTTTATACCAGCAATATTCCCTTTACACAGTATCAATAAAATATTTCTTGTAAATCTCAACTTAAACATTAATGTAATCAAATCAAATATTTAAACAAAGCTATTTGCCACTGCCAGGGCATTACCTTTTATCTAGCTTGTTAAAAGAGTCCAGTTTTCTTTTTTTTTCTTTTTTTCTGAACAGGTATCTTGTGTCAGGGAGCAGCAGCACAAACTACAGATATAAGTCGACCAACGTTACTTCTCTGATAGCAGCTTAGGTTTGGTCATGGCATGCCATGGTTTCCCACGTAAGATTACATTAAACAGAGGTAAAGCCCAATTTATACTTCTGCGTCGAACTCACGCCGTAGCTGTGTAGCGCGCGTACCCTGACGTGCATCTCTCCAAAAATGTAACGTCAATTCTACGCGTAGCCTACCGCAAACGCTGTGATTGCTAGAACCGCTCCCCGGGTTTCACACTCTCCCTCTGCATGTGTAATTGCGCGTTAACGCGGACAACGACGCAGATATATAAATGAAAACCAACGCGTAGTCTATAGCGTAGACTAGAGGCTCCGGCGTAGGTCCGACGCAGAAGTATAAATCAGCCTAGAGTGAGGTGAAGTGGTCGAGCACAGGTGCAGCGACAAGCGGGTGCGTTCCTGTGAAACTGTTGCGGTCATGCTCGCCTCACGCACGCGCCCGCGCGTTGCCGAAGTGGAATTGTCTAACTTTTTGTACACGACGGTGACGACGCGCAGCACAAATCATTGGAAGAGAGACTGATCCTCGGCTCGCTGTTTGTGAGTTTCCAGAATCTAAATAGTTATCAGGACATCAACAGGAGGGAATTCACATGGCAGAGCATCCCCGCTAAACTAAACGCAGGCCTATCAGGTAAAGTTATGTATAATTTTAATTTAAGTTAAAAAGGCTACAGCTGCGTAGCGCACAGAAGCCGTTGCCATGGTTACTATCCATAGAGCGCCTGTCATTCACTCGTGGAGCGCTGTCTCCCTTTCTGTTCACCTGAGAGAACCTGCCAAAGCCTCTCCACTGCTTGTTTGGGTGGGTTATTTGCTGGCTGACCAACATCCCACCCCTCCTGTGATCATGGTTTGACTGTAGGACTATGTGTATTCAGAGCCAGTGAGCAACGGACTTTCAAAAAAAACAAAAAAAACAACAAAAAAAAACAAACAAAAAAAACATGCGTTAACGCGCGATAAAAAAATTGTCGGCATTAATTAATAAATGCGTTAACGCGATAATAACGCGTTAACTTGCCCAGCACTAATATATATATATATATTAGGGGTGTAACGATACACGTATTCGTATTGAACCTTTCGGTAAGAGGCTTTCGGTTCGGTTCGGTTTTCGGTACGCATTTTTAAACCGAACGGTTCGTTGGACCATTTTTCCTGCCAACCAAAATTTCGTTATTTCAAATGTAGGCGCGTCGGGCGTGGTAAGCGCGTTCATAATGTAAGAGACGCTGGCGTGACCACAACATTGCCCAACATCAAATGGCAAATGTAATGTAAGCGGAACGAATTTGAGCTACTCGTTATTGTGTGGTTGACAGACCGTTTATCAGTTTGGACCAATGCAGCACGAGCCGATCTTAATCAAGCAGCACTGTTACTACACAGCGAAATCCTGTAAAGAAAATTTTTTTAATTTGCGACTGAAGTAATAACATCGCTTCGAGATCTAGTGAGAAACATTCACATTTCTCCGTTATTAACGGATCAAACAGCGCTGACATGGAATCCAGGAAGAAACATTGTGCCATGAATGAACTATTCAGTGTCCACAGATCAGCAACATTCACCATGGATTTACTGTAGTAACACTACTAACTGTAACCATGGAAGTTTGACAGGAATAGTAGACAATAGTGCTTTCAAGAAACATTACATCGGTTTTATTTTGACATTATGAATACAATTGCTGCCCTCAAATGTTAATCTGAACTAAAATAAACCTTTGTTTATAACTACTACAATATTACATTTCATTTTGTCCAAGGAGCTGTTTTGTTTTAAATGCTCCTAAGAAAAGTCAAGTATAGCTCCATCATTGCTCAAAGTAAAAAGATCATACTTTATGATGTTAGTTTTATTCAAAGTAAAATTAAAAAAATTAAATCAAGGAAATTTCTCTGGCATTTCTTTCTTTTTGCTGTATCAAAAACTTACCGAACCGTACCGAACCGTGACACAAGTGTATCGTATCGAACCGAACCGTGAATTTTGTGAACCGTTACACCCCTAATATATATATATTTATAGATATATATCTTTCTGTGAAATATTGTGCTTGCAATGACAGACAACAATAAATAGTCAGGGACAGTATACAGAGAGCTCTTGCTGAAGGCACAGAAGCTAGCGCGATCTGTTTTCAGGTGTGCTTTATAGTTTCCTGGTCGATGACGTCACCCGCCTATGACGTCTCGTCTCTCCATTAGACTGATTATACACGTGCTTCATGACGCAATCACACAGGGGCGTTCCCACAGCATCTCGCCTTGAAGGGAACTAAATATAACCCTGACACCGGTAACTTACAACCCTGTTACTTTTTCAATTATTAATATTTATATTGAATTTCATACATTTTACATATTGAATTCAGATGTTTACTTAATTGCACAAACCAGAGTTTTAAAATGTATTCAGATTAAAAAAATGTATTAACACATCTCTTATAAGATTAATAGAAAATAAAAACCAATTGTATAAATTCATATTTTTGATCTTCTGAATTTGACGATCAGCATTTTCTGAAGGTTAAATGCCTCTTTTACAAGAAAAAAAAACTTCAAGACTTTCAGACAATATTTGGTACCCTCTTTTTGAACAGAGTCTGCTACTAACCAGCTAACTAACTGACCAATAAATATTATAAAACCAACCGATACATCTTAATTATATGACTGTGTATAATATGCTGATAATGATTTGTCTTTCACTTTGACAGCCCTCATTAACCAACAGTGATATCCTGTTTGTGAAGATTCATGCACCATGGGACACGCTGTGTAAATATGCAGAGCAAATGAACATTAGAATGCCCTTCAGGTAGAGTTAATTGTCATTGTACTGTGCTAAACTTCATACTGTTAGTAAATTCAATGTGATTATATTATATATGTATTTTACAGGAAAAAGTGTTACTTCAGAGACTGGAAGAAAAAAAATATGGGAAGGTAAGATAATGCTGGTATAGTTCTTACTGTTCTGTGTTTCCACAAATATGGCTGGGAGTTAATTATTTCATTTTATTTGCATTCTAGTCAAAAACCCATTCAGTACTTCTATTTTGTTAATTTTATGTGGATTTTAATTTGAATCAAACTGTAGCTGTGGGGAATAAAGATTCTATTAAGTTAATTAGCTTGATATTTGTTGTGCGTCTCAGGGACTAAATCAGGCTTGATTTAATTTGCATAAGTAAAGAAAACTCTAGAGGTGACTTTAAGTTTGAAATGAAGAAACTACTATTAAACTACCTGTCGTTTTTTTTTTTATTGGAGACAATAACACATTTTTTTGACAAATGCAAATGTATCTCTACAGTCAATTTCAGCTGAGATTTCGTCAGTTGAAAAGCTGGCTACCCAGGAACCCTATGAAACTGGATAAGGAGGCATTACCAGATCTGGAGGAAACGGATTGCTACACCGCCCCCTTCAGCAGGGCCAGAGCGCACCAGTATGTTCCTCTTTCATGAGCTTGTTAAAATCAAATATCATGTTTTCTCAAATAATCTCATATAGGCCTACTTTATGACATAACAGGCCTACTTTATGACAGAACAGATGCCATTGCATGACACCTTTTGCTTTCTGGAAATATGATACTGCAATTAGATAGCTGAACACTGAAGCTGAAACCACAATTCTGCAACCTTCATCAACCAATGAACGAAATTCAGCCTCAGCTGACCCTTTCATTGCAGATTTAATGATGGAAGCACTTTAGATCATGTACTTGATGTACTTGAACTTGATGACTATATGTGAATGCACTGAAGTCACTGCTTGCTGAGATCCACTTTACAGATCAGAGATTATTTTAAATGCATGACCTCATAAATTACTGTATCCTGTGGTAAAATATTTTTTTTGTTAAGGAGGTGCTATTAGTAAGGGTTTATTTGAGGTTGGACAGAGGTTTTGTATGCACAGAAATGTTGGAATTGGGTAAGCAGGGTTTAATCTTTCTTTTCAAAACTTTAAACAAATAATAGATCATAAAAAGATTTAAAAGAAACTTTCTGCAGAGTATCATTATACAGAGTTTTTGACAGCAGCAAAAGGAAGAATCTCATGAAGGTTTCAAGAAATATATATATTTTTTTGCATATATTAAACAGTATTATTTATTTAACATAGCTTTTATTTAGAATTGTCTTTTATTTTTATATTTTTAGTTTTCATTTTCCTTTTAAGTTAAAGCTGCATTAGGGAGTTTTGAGAAAACGTTGACTTAGCCTGAAAATTTGAACAAGCACAACTTACAGGTCCCACCCCCTTGCTCTCTGCTGCGCTACAGCCCTCCCTCCACAGCTCGTCCTCCACAGCGGAGCCTGTCGTGAACGCGCAGGCTAGTAAACAGGGCCACCGATAACAGCGGATAAAAAGTTTGGCACATTCACTAATAGGGACTAAACGTCAACAATATGCTTTACATTGACTATGGCCTGCCCATACTTTGACTACAAACTTGGTCCTCAAATCATTATGTATTTTGCAATAGCCTACATGTAACTTTGTAACGTTGCACTCTTTCTATAAGTTATAATGAGCACTGTCCCTGTAAAATAAACAAATAAATAAATAAATAGCTAGTAAGATAACGTTAATATAACGGTAACTAACGTTACAGTATGTAAGTAATTATTCTAGCGATATATAATGCTAGATAACGTGTGCTAGTACATTATTTCAGCAACATGACAAGCCAGTGAATTAGCAGGTTTCAATTGTTGCTTAGCAGAGTGCATGACCTTTTATCTACATGTTATGCAGCTAGAGTTTTGACACCGAGTCAATGGGCTCTGTGTAATTCTTTCTTTTTCGCTTGTTTATCGTTATCAGTCTTTTTCCTTTTACCTCTTTGTTTTATGAGCAGGTGTTACTCGAGAATTGGCCGTTTAGGTTGTTTCTCCGTCATAAGCACAGCTGCAGCACTCCGGCAATCTGGAGTTTGAATGACGGCTCGCGCTCCGGCGCTCGCGCTGTGCAAGAGAGGGGTGTGATCAGCGCGTACACGAGCGTGACTGACACTGCTAAGACACTCCTCCCGGCTCTGATTGGTTGTTTCTGACCGGGAGCGTGTATTTCTTGCAAATGGCAATATGACCACTAGGAGGAGCCAGAGGAGCTTGATTTTTACACAGATTATCTATCTCATATTCTACTGTCAGGACATAATGACAGTTTTAGCAAATACATTTTTTCAAAAGTTACCTACAGCAGCTTTAAGTTCTAGTAGTTTTGAACTTTTGTAATTTTTAGGATTAGGGTTATGGTTCTATTTAGCTTTAACTTAGTGTTACTTCTTTTTTTCCTGACCATAAATTTAGGTAGGGCAGATTATGGATCTTAGTGCTAGTCAGTGCTTTAAGTGGGCCGGTACGCACCGGTACTCAGTACCGCCACTTCCAAATATAGCTCTTGAGCGTACCGCCACCTCTCCGTGCGCCCAGAACGTGCTTTTAGCGTACCGGTACGCTCATTTGCACATCTGTTTTAATCCTTTGGCTGCGCTGCCGCTTTTCAGAGCTCCCTTCACAATGCACGCCTCCTAATTCGTCCCACAGAGAGCAGAGACTACATTACCCATACACCCATGAGTTTTACAAGTGAAAAGCGCATGCGTCGCTTTTGCCGCTGTCAGTGTTAGCTGCTCGGTTAAAATACAAATAGAGCATCACAGTGCGTGCCGTGCCCGGTTAAACCCCGCGAAGGTCCGTGAAGACTGAAGATCGTGTAATGACGTAGGGCTAGCTCATTGGTCGCACGTCAGAGGCGCCCGCGCCATTGGATGTGCAGTTGCCGCAGTACAGCCTATGAGCGAGCCAGATGCTCAATGTGTTTTACATATAAGCTTCATTAAATCAGAATCAGAAAAGGAGTTTCCCTGCACATTCACTATATAAAATTCACTGGAGGAAAAAGTACGCGTGGTCGTCGTCAGATTTGGAAGTCGCTCAAAAGGCTCTTTCGCGGTTGTGGCTTCAGTCGACTTCATCAGTGAGGCGCGGTGGTTTATGGGATGAGTAGTTCCTTCGCTCGGAAATGAAAATATGTACACAGTCTTGTACCTTTGACTCTATTTGGATTTTCTCTTCGTTTTTTTCACTCGAAATGATATGTTGTATGCTTATGAGTTCAGCCGTAGCTGGTTATCCTCAGACATGCTCTAAAACTCTTTAGATACGGTTTTTCCAAAACGTCAATGGGAGAAATGAATGGGAAATTTACTTCCGGCACCGAAGCTCTCTCGGGCTGTGGGCGGGACTGTGATGCTCTATACCCCAGACCTATGCCCCAGACAATAACATTTCATTTTGTAACAGAATAAAAGTTTTTTTTTTTTTTTTTACAATGTAATTTTACTCTGTTTCTTCATGTTTTTACTCAACATTTGTGCAGTTTTGGGAGGATTTATGATATATTTTAAATTTCTATAAATAAATAAATATTTATTTAAATAGGCTTTTTACAACAAAAAAAAACAGCATTTTATGTCAAATTCACTTTATAAAATACCCAGATTTCTAACTTTCATTCATGGAGATAACATGGATAATTTTACATGGTTTAATGTAAGATTTTTGGCCATTTTTTTGAAAATGCAGTTTTAAAATAAAATAAAAATCACTTTAACCACTAGATGGCTATAGAGCTTCACTATATGGTATTTGCTATTTGACTAATCAAAATATATATTTTCACAAGTTTTTCCAGTTGGATTCATATCCACATTTTGTACATTTTATTTATGTTCAGTAGCTCTTTCTACTGTAGCTCTTTCTAAGGGTATTTTTTCAATACCCTTTGCACATTTTATTTATGTTCAGTAGCTCTTTCTAGCTAAAGCAAATCTACAAACTATAAAAGGATTTATTATTTTTTATAAGGTCGTCTGTTGACTGCTGTTTATATAAAAGCCCTTCAATATAGTCAGGGGAGGAGGGGAGTCAGCAAAAAATAAATAAATAAATAAATAATAATAGAGTACCGCCACCTCTTTTGGGCCACTTAAAGCACTGGTGCTAGTGTATGATTAAACATTTTGTAAGCTTTATATTCTAATAGCTGAAGACATGCAGACACACTTTTGGCAGAGGTCTAACGTCCTTGAGTTATTGATGATTGACAGGCATGCATAGAATGCTATCTTAGTATTGCCTTAATGTAGCATTTATAGCTTCCGACTGTTGTTTTAGAATATTACAAGTTGTGGAGGAATTCCAGTGAGGAAAAGAAAGTCAATTCTATTCTCAGAACAAACAGAACTAAATAAAGGCAATTCACATTAGCACGTTTAAACTGTATTTATAATCCATCCAGTATAATACAGTAAAACTACACATTTTAGAATGGCCTTTTATTGAGAGAAATAGGCCTTTTGAGCATGGCTAGGAGGAAGCCAGTGTAACGCACATGATATCAGTCATAGTCTATCCTACATGACAAATAAAAATCATGAACAAATTACAGACACTGGACTTGAATCATGGGCGCTCTCTGGAACTGCTGAAACGCCCTCCGGGGATGCGGGAACAGACACTGGACTTGAGTCAGGGGCGGTCTCTGGAGCTGCTGAAACGCCCTCCGGGGCATCAGGAAGACACTGGACTTGACTCAGTGTAGCCCTCGGGGGCTGCTGAAATGCCCTTTGGGGCTGCAGGAACAGACACTGGAGTTGACTCAGGGTGGCCCTAGGGGGCTGCTGAAATGCCCTCTGGGGCTGCAGGAACAGACACTGGGCTTGAGTCAGGGGTGCTCTTGGGAGCTGCTGAAATGCCCTCCGGGGCTGCAGGAGCAGGGTCAGGGACATAATCTGATGGCTCCGGGGCTGGAACAGGATCAGTGAGCACAGCAAGCACAACATCACTGACAGGACTGGACAGAAAATGACTAGCAGGAACGGTCTCTACGGACAGTACATGAATGGCAAGAATAGGCAAGAACACCAGACCTTGGACCACCAGGACTGCTGGACTTGGGACCATCAGAGACAGGCCCTCCGGTTTCGGGAGCTCCTAACTCTGGTTCTGCTAGACCAATGAATTTGAGCCCTCCTGACTCGGGCCTCTTGGACCAATGAGTTTGGGACCTCTTGACTCTGCCCTGCTGGCCAAATGGGCGTGGGGCCTCTTGACTAAGGATAAGTACTGAAACCTGGTATTAAATGGGCCCCAGGGCTGAATTATGAAAGACCACTGTATCGATAAGCTCAGACGTTATCGGTTCTGCTGTCGGTACCAGAGAAATTAAGAAAATACACATACTATTTATTATTGCTATAAATACGCTATCTTGCAAATTCTATCTCGTCAGCCATTTCTATATTATTGTATTTCTTGTAGATGTGCCGTTAATTTATAAATTAATGTATCTTAATTTGCTAAAATTATACTTAATGTTCTTAAAACTAAATTTGCTAGAACTTTATTTTACAGTCCTGCTGTCAGGGTT